GAGATGCTGTTCCAAATGGCTGGAGCTGCGGAGAAGAAGGTCCCTGCACCAGCAGTGGGAAGTTTGGCTGGAAGGATCCAGCAAAGGGCGGGTCCCTGAAGAGGGTAGAGAGACTCAAGGTCAGGTGGATGGAGTAAGACCATAGGGTGTGGACTACAACCTTGGTGCTGAAATGACCTGGGACCTGTGGAGCTTTAGAAAGGCTGTGTGCTAGGCTGACGCAGTGCGTGGGGCTGGAGGGCTGGGGTTCAGGGAGGTTGGAGAGCAGGGAGCTCACTCCCAGTGCTTGGGGTGGTGGCAATGGGCACTGGGGGAGCAAGGACCCCATGAGACGCTGTGCAGTTAGCCAAGCCGTGGGGCAGTCTGCAGCCCTCAGCAGTAGGGCTGGCCACTCTGGAACCAGGCTGTGGCAGGCAGGGGCTCTCTGGCCTGGGAGGCGAAGCCGGGGATGAAGCTCTGTTTTTCTCCTGATGTTGTAAATTTCAGAATTAAGACCTTCAGGGTATGTCTACACTGCAATTAGCCACCCGCGGCTGGCCCATTTCAGCTGACTCGGGCTCAGGGGCTGTTTAATTGCGGTGCAGACGTTCGGGCTTGGGCAGAAGCCCAGGCTCTAGGACCCAGCCAGGTGGGAGGCTGGCCTGAAAACTCATCCAGAGCAAAGCCAAACTCCCTAGCAGGGTCACAGGGCCAAGCCGAGCCGAGCGGCTCAGTGAGGAGCTAGCCCTGGTGCTGAAACAGGCTCCTGCGCAGAGGAGCTGCCCTCGTTGAATGCTGTTACACTGCAGTTTCTCAGGCCGCTCTGCCTGTGGGAACGTTGGCTGCTTGCTCTGTGTTTGCTGTTACAGTTTGGTTTGTGTGTAACATCTCAGCTCGATATTGTCACACCAGAAGGAAGTGATTTTCCCAAGTCAGGATAACAGCAAGGAGTCCTGGTTCCAAGTTCCCTGCTCTAACCACGAGAGCCCACTTCGCTCCCAGCTGGGAATGCAGCCCAGGAGTCTTTGCTTCCAGATCCCTGCTCTAACCACTAGTCAAGTGGTTCTCGACTTTTTATATACAATGGCCCTGTGTTTCAAGAGAAAAAGATTTCAGGACTCTCCCCCCAGCCTCTCTCCAAGCCAAAAGGAAAGGGAGGATGGTCATGACCCCTCTGAACCTATTAGCAACCTCCTGGCTGAAAACCCTAGACCTTGCTGCTGTCTTAACAAGCCACTTGCTGTGCTTGTCAGCTGTTCTACTCCTCCTGTCTTCTAGTTAATGTGTCAAATACAATTCAGCGGCTTCAGACAGCAGTTTCATTTCTTTTAAAGGATAAGCTGCTTTGATTTTGTTCAAAAATAGTAAAAATAGAAAAGGAACTGTGTGTGTGTGTGTGTGTGTGAGTGAGTGAGTGAGAAGACCTGTTCCCCTCACCCATGGGGTGCAACTGAATATGTTTTTTAAAATGTATGTGTTTGATGTCTGTCTAATGCAGACTTTTAAAAACATTTTGTAAGGGTGACTAGAAGTAACCCCAGGAGCAATCGGAGCCGATACGTGCGGCCTGTGGCACAGGCACGTGGATTGGTGTTGTCGCGTGATTAGAATAGGGAGGCAGGACTTCGGGGTTCTATTCCCAGCGTTAGGAAAGGAGGAGCACATGGGGGCTGACCAAAAGAATCTCTCCAGGAAATGCTACTTAGAGAGGGAAAACTTATGAGACTTAACAACAGAGAGGACTTGCAAAGCGCGACCTGGGATAGTTTGTGCCCTAAGTGACGTCTAATGGCACAGGAAGGATTCATTTTTGGGGAGTGGGATCTAGCGGGTAGGGTGTGGGGAGGGGACTGGGAGTCAGGACTCCTGGGTTCTACCACTGGATCTGGATGGGAGTTGGTTCTCATGGTTAGAGCAGAGGAGACTGGGACTCAGGAGTCTGGGGTTCTCTTCCTGGTTCTGCCACTTAGGCAGATCACATCCCTCTCCGTGCCTCAGTTCCCTCATCTGTACAATGGTGATAATAACACCAACCCACCTCCGGCAGGGTTTAGTTAATTCCTAGCTGAGTAAGGTGCATTACTAGACCATTGTGGGATTAACGTTGGCTGTTATTAGCATTCTTCCCACATACTGATCCCCCACCACCCACCCTCAGAAGCGCACTCACTTCCCCCAAGACACAGGCCTGATCTTACTTATCCCTCTCCATTGGCCAGAGCAAACCAAGCAATCCATCTCCCTTTGCCCACGAGCTCCTCTGAACCCCTCCCTGGATGGAAGGGCATCCCTCTGCATCATAGACGTTATGGGGAGTGGGGTGGGGAGACTGAAGAGGAGAAGAAATCTGGTGGCACAATGGAGTGACTAACCCATTCTGGGAAGGAGCGTGGCGTGGGGGTGGGGGGAACAGAGCTCAGGGTATTTGTTTAATGCAAAAGATTTAACTGATCCGCAGAACTGGATGGCTCTGTCTTTCACCTTCCTTCTCCCTCCCTCTGTCTCTCTTGCCCTGCATGTTCCTAGCCCTCTCTCCTCCAACTTCTCCGGTATCGGATCTGCTCCCACAGGCCACTGATTCAGGCCTCTTTCCCCCACAAACCAATCGATGAACAGGAAGGGCCTGCAGCGAGCTCCGATTCTCAGCAGCTGACAGCGCTAGTGCTGGGAGAAGGAGCCCACAGAAGTCCAAGCTTCCAGGCCCCCCTCCCCAGCCCCAGCTGCTCAGCATATTCCAACAGCTCTGCTGCTCCGCTTTCTTCCCGGTGTTTAGCTCAATTGCTGAGATCAGTTTAACCCCTTTTATGTGGAGCTGCAGCATTGGATGGGGCTTGAAAGGGGGCCTATTGGCTGCCTGAGACAGGGGCCTACAAGCACATGCCTACTGCATCCCAAGCATGCTCAGAAGCGTCCCTAGATAAGGCTCTGAACCCCACCCTCACCCTCTTGCAGACAGAGCAAAAACATATGGAGAGGGGAAGTGATTTGCTCATGGTCACACCGGGAGTCAGTGGCAGCGCCAGGAATGGAGTTCAGTTCCCTGCTCTGACCCCTAGATTCCCCTCCCAGAGTCAGGTACAGACCCCACCTCCCCTGACACCCAGTCCTGGGCTTCAACGGCGAGTTCATGCTTCTTCTAGCGAACAGCAACCCGATCTACTCACTGGGCCAGACTCTGACCACAGCTCTGCCCGTGTAAATCCAGAATAACGTCACCGTCAGTGGGGCCAGGGCCGGCTTTAGGAAGTGCGGGGCCCGATTCGAATAGTTTCGATGGGGCCCTGGCAGGGATGACTGACCTGGCGGCGCTCCGGGTCCTTCACTCGCTCCGAGTCTTCGGCGGCACTGAAGGGCTGCCGCCGAAGACCCGGAGCGAGTGAAGGACCCGCCACCAAAATGCCACCGAAGACCCGGAGCGAGTGAAGGACCCGCCGCCGAAATGCCGCCGAAGACCCGGAGCGAGTGAAGGGCCCGCCGCCGAAATGCCGCTGAAGACCCGGAGCAAGTGAAGGACCTGCCGCCGAAATGCCGCTGAAGACCCGGCGTGAGTTAAGGCCCTGCCGCTGAAATGCCGCCGAAGACCCGGAGCGAGTGAAGGACCCGCCGCCGAAATGCCACCGAAGACCCGGAGCGCCACCGGGTGAGTAAAATTTTAAAAGGTGCCTAAGTTAGCCGCTCTTCTTTAGAGCGCGGGGCCCTCATCTGTGCGAGCGCGGGGCCCTCTTAGGTGCGGGGCCCGATTCGGGGGAATCGGCCTAAAGCTGGCCCTGAGTGGGGCTACTCCAGATTTATATTGGTGTAACTGAAAGTAGAATTTGGCTTATTGCTCATCATTAAAGCTAAGAGTTAGTCACGGGTATTTTTAGTAAAAGTCATGGACAGGTCACGGGCGATCAACAAAAATTCATAGCCCGTGACCTGTCCATGACTTTTACGATAAATATCCCTGACTAAAACTTAGCAGCTCCTGAGACCCCGGGGCACCGCTGCTCTGGGGGACCCCGGGACTGACAGCTAGCCCCAGCACTGTCAGTGGGGGCTGACTGCCCCCAGCTGCCCGCAGCTCAGAGACCCCGGGGCACCGCTGCTCTGACTGCTGCTCTGGCGGTCCCGGAGCCAGCTGCCAAGGCTGCTCTAGAAGTGGCCAGTGTGTTTGGCTCCTGGACTGCCCCAGCCGCTGCCCGAGCGGCTAGTCCTGGGGTCCACCCCAGCAGCTGCAGAACTCCTGGAGGTCCCAGAAAGTCACAGAATCCGTGACCTCTGTGACAGACTCGTAGCCTTACCCATCATGTCTGAAAAGTACGCACCCCTGTCTGGTTTGGCAGCTGAGGCATTATGGGATAGCTGCCTGGATTGTCCCAGAATGCACTGGTTGTAGGCATGGCTGTGCAATAGGGAAGGTGTGGTTGTGCCTCAAGAATAGGACTCTGGTGGTGTTAGCTGAATACAACAAAACTTGGTTGCACCAAACACAGTTGAACTGCATAATGGCTTATTACCAGGATCAGATGCTCTTAACTCTGGTACTTTGCTCTCACATGCACAAAGTTAAACTGACCAACAGCAGAGCTGGGCTCGCCTCCCCCTCCCGGGCTGTCAGCAGGGAGTGGGGGAGCTCTCCCCCCGCCGCACAGAGTGGGGGATCATCCATCAGGGTTAAGCAGGCAGATCCTTGGGATTAGGACCCTGTGGAGGGGTCTGACAGGGCTCAACACACCAGCGAGCTGTCCATGGGGGAGAGTTCCTGGGGTTGAATGGAACAGCGAGGTCGGCTAGGGAGAGATCTGAAGGCTGGGTGGATCGGGGCCCTGGAGACTCCATCTGCCCCTGCAGCTGATTCCGGGAATTGGGGAGACATGGGTATTTCTGACTGCAGACACCCTTGGACAGACACGATCTTGCACAGACAGCAGCGCCCTTGAGAGAGGGGGACTCCAGTTGTCAAGGCATAGGGGCCTCCTTGCTCCCAGCACTCACAGGGGGCCAAGCCACGAGCTGAGCTTTCCTTGACTCCGCTGCACTCCTTTTGAATACATGATTTTAGCGACTATCATAGCGAACTGCATTGTTCTTGCCCTGGAGCAGCACCTGCCTGATGAAGACAAGACCCCGATGTCAGAACGACTGGTGAGTGTGGGCGTCTCTTTCTTTCTTATCTGGATTTACCTAAGTTCTGGGTGCTACCTGGAACTGGAGTACCACCGAGCCCCCTGGCCCACCAGCCTGGGCTCCCTTTTACACTGCACTGCTGGGACAAGCTGCAAAGCCCTCCAGCCTGCACTTTCACCAGCATACAGGTGGGGACACACCCAGCTGCAGTGACAGGCAGGCTCTCTGACCAGCCCCTGCATAGGAAAGCTACAGCTAAGGCAACTCCCAGCTCCCCAGGCGCGCACCCACTCTGGAGTATAAACCCAAAATTATACCATCTTGTGCTGCACAGGGAACTGTACAGCGTACGCTCATAAAATTCACCCCCTCCCTCAATGTGGAGTGGAATATGCAACAGCCTTTGCCCTTGAGTTATGATTCCCATACACTTCACTCCAATTCACTAGTTTAGATAGAGCAAAAACAAGTTTATTAACTACAAAAGATAGATGTTAAGTGATTATAAGGGATTACCTAGCAAATAAACAAAAGAACGCAAACTAAGCTTACTCTACTAGATAGATTGGATATGAATTAGCAGATTCTCACCCTAAGAAATGATACAAGCAGGCTGCAGATTCTTACGGGACAAGCTGCACTTGCTTTACAGGTTGGAATCCCCAGGTGTTTCATTCACAGGCTAGAAATCCCTTTAGCCTGGGTCCAGCACTTCCCCCCGTTCAGCCCTTGTTCCTTGGGTGTTTCCAGGAGTTTTCCTGTGCGGGGAGTGAAGAACACCCGATGATGTCACTCCCTGCCTTACGTAGCTTTTGCATATGGCAGGAACCCTTTGTTTCAAAGCTTGGGTCCCAGCCCAGTCTATGGAAAAACACTGACATCCCAAGATGGAGTCCAGCACCATGTGGCCTGGTCACATGTCCTTGTAGAGTCATAGCAACCATTACTCCCAGGCTGTGTGGAGTGTTCTCTGGAAGGCTCATCACCAGGTGGGAGATCAGCTTCTCCTGAGGGCGGGGTTCTCAAACGGGGGGTCGCGAGGTTATTACATGGGGGGGTCGCGAAATGTCAGCCCCCACCCTAAGCCCCGCTTTGCTTCCATCATTTATAATGGTGTTAAATATATTAAAAAGTGTTTTCAATTTGTAACGGGGGTCACACTTAGAGGCTTGCTGCGTGAAAGGGGTCACCAGGACAAAAGTTTGAGAACCACTGTCCTAAGGCCTGTTGTTTTTTCCTAATGGCCCATTGCCCTGAATAGGCCCTTTCCCACTCACTATCTAGACTGACAGCATCTTCTCCAGTGGGCATTCCCCAGGTGTAACTACATTTGAAATACAGATACATAGTCAGTATTCATAACTGCAGATACAAAAATGATACCTGCAGACACATAAGATAGTCATGTTCAGCAAACCATACATTTTCCAATGACACCTCACATGACGTATCTTGCATACAATACTTCATAATCATATAACAATATCCCTGTGAAGAATATGGGGTGCAGTGTCACACTTAGGTCTTATGTCTATTGGGAAACTGATCAGAATAACTCCCCATCTGCACACTTTTAGTCTGGAGTGTATTTGTCCACACATGTGGTTATTCTTGAATAGCTATTGCATTTTAAATTCACACCCTTTGTTATTCTGGGATAGCTTCCCCGTGCAGCTGCGCCCTTAGACCGCTGCACCAGAGGGGGCTGCCTTTACAGCCCCCTTTCTAGCTGTCCTCTTTATGTCCTGCTTTCTGCCCTTGTGCTGGGAGCTGGGACAATGCCATATGCCTCCCTCACAACTGATTCAGTTCCCTTCTCCCACCGGACCCTGGCTGTGTTATCTCTGAAGCAGCTTGTCCTAGATTCCTCCCTACTCAGGCCATGAAAATCGGAGCCAGCCTGGAATGCCTGGGAAGTGACAGCCGTTTCCATTCCACGGGATTTGGGGCTTCTAGGAATCTTGGGGGTGGATTTTTGGTAATCTGTCTGTCTGTGTATCTCCATTCACCTCTCTCTCTCTCTCTGTTTGTACCCCAGACCACGTAGAGCTGGGACAAAACTGTTTTCTTGGAATTATTGTCATATCCATTCTGACATTCACACCACCCCCTCAGTCAGAACCTCTTCTCTATGGGAAGAGAATGTAGTCCAGTAGTCAGCACACAGAGAACCAGGGACTTCTGGGCTCTGTTCCCGCTCTGGGAAGAGAATGTGATCTAGTGGTTAGAGCAGGGTTCTGAGAACCAGGACTCCTCTGTTTCCTCCCTGCCACTTCACCATGGTGTGGCCTGAGGCAAGTCCCTTTCCCCTTCTCTGTGCTTCAGTTTCCCCACATCTCACAGTGGCTTGTGAGGTTTCATGAGTGGCCCTCAAGTGCTTTGAGACCCTGCAGAAGCCCCATGGCTTGTTACTGTTTTCATTGTCCGCATTTCCCTCTCTCTCCCAGGATGACACGGAACCATATTTCATCGGAATCTTTTGTTTTGAGGCTGGAATTAAAATCATCGCCTTAGGGTTTGCTTTCCACAAAGGCTCCTATCTGAGGAATGGGTGGAATGTGATGGACTTCGTGGTGGTTCTTACAGGGTGAGTAGCTGTTTTTTATCCTCTCCATCTCTGTGTTGGTCACCTGCAGACCAAGGTACAAACAATGATGTATTTGCTTGAACCGGGAGGCGGTAGCATGGCCTAGTGGTTGTCTGGTGGCTAAAGCCATTCGTCCAGGAGTCAGGACACCTGGGTTCAATTCCCAGATTAGGGGGAAGTGGTGTCTAGTAATTAGAGTTGCTGACAGGTGGTTGGGACTCCTGTGTTCTGTTCTCATCTCTGCCTCTGTCCATACGGCCTTGGGCAGATCTGTGCGTCTTGCTTTCCCAAAGCGGTTGTGAGGATTATGTGCGGATGGGGTTTTAGAAGCTGGGGAGTGGGACAGACGGGCTCAGTGGCATTATTAAAGCCTGGGGCTTTGTGCAATGGGCAGAGCCGGCCTGGCTGCATTTTCACTCTAGGCAGGTCCCCAGTGCTTCGTATCCCTGCTGCTTTGCAACCTGCTGTGGAAGTTCTAGGGCTGTGGAACAACGGCCTCTCTCTGCTAGTGCTGAGACCTTACTGCTGCTGGGGTGGCTGGAGCTAAAGAGCTTTCATTCATCATAGATCCCTGCTCCTAATGAGTGCTGGGACCACCTTTCAGCAGGCCTCTGCCGTTTAACTTCCCCGAGGCTTCCTGCTTCTGGCCCTCTGTCACTGCCCCTCCGCGGGGACTGTGGAATGGAAGGCTGATGCGTGTTGGAGTTGGTTCTTCATCTTTGAGCCTGTCGCACTGGTTCACTTGCCTAGTATTTCTCTGGGTTTATCTGCTGGGCAGCGCTTGTGTTTGGATAACTCCTGGAGAAATAACGTTGTGTTTCCATTGTGTTGGCTTGTGTCATTTTCACTCTCGAGTTCTGCACCATGGTGGCCTGCTGGGAATTTTTTCTTCTCTCCATTCTTGAATATACAAAGTTTCGTGGTGAAGCAGAATACGACAATATTGCCTACTAGTCGGAGCAGCAGCCTGCGGAGCCACGACTCTTGGGTTCTGTTCGAATCAGGACTCCTGGGTTTTTTCCCAGCAGTGGGAGGATAGATCTAGGAGTTAACTCAGGGTGGGGGTTGGCAGTCAAGACTCCTGGGTCCTGTCTTGCCACTGACTTGCTGTCGGAACTGGGGGCATGCTGCTTCCCTTTTCTCTTACCTACTTTGTGTCATGGGAGGCCATGTTTATAAAGCACTTGCAGACACTTGACCGTTGTGCTCTTTCTAATATTTGTGGCGTGGTTTCCTTCTACACGTTTCAGCCGGTGTCGCTCCAATACTGGTGTGCGTAGGGTTGTTCTTTGCACAGTTCTGACTGTGCGCCCAGTGCGTCTCTGGTGATGGTCACCTGGGCAATGTTTGCATTAACACTTTGAATGCCCTGCTGCGTCTGGCCTTTTGTTGTTACCATATGTTTTTTGCACGAGATCTGTTCCTTGGCTGTTCACGTTACTTTGGGGGACACAGCAGTTGCTTTCCAGGCAGCAGGTGTCACTTCCTTTATTACTTTATACCCTGGCTGTTGTCCAGGCAATATATTTTTAAGCTATAAGTTGAGGCCACAAAGCAAGGGACTTAACTTGCACAGGAAGCATGAGGTCCCTTAGCATGGGGCCTGCTGGTGAGATACAAAGGGGTTTGTGGAGGGAAATCAGTTATTAGGAGTTGGATGGCTCAGGGCATCTCGAATGGGCTGTCGCGCCTTCCCTCGAGATTGCCGGTTGAAATCCAGCCCTGGTGGGGAGGGGTGAAAGCTGTTACGCTCTGCTTGGTTGCATGACATGATTTTGAGGGGGTTCCGTCCAAATCCCAGTGGGCAGGTGCCGCTGGCACTGACACTGGCAGCCTCAACAGAGAAGCCATGGAATGAATGGGTCACAGAGACCCCTCTCCCCTGCAGGGCAAGACCCACGAACAGTCAGTGTCCTGGACCTCTCCCTAGCCACAGAATTCACCCAAGGGTCCCACTGCCTCCAGCCATTGCATTTGGAATCACCCCGGGTCTCCCCCTTACCTGGGACACCTGGTGCTTAGTTGCTCCAGCAACAGGGCCAACCCAAGTCTCAAGCTAAAGAGTTATCATTGGTATGGACCTTATTTGTGCAGCTGCTTGGGATGTCGTTGTGCTGTGCCTGGGGTCATAGACCTGTGCTGTGGACGTGTTATCCTTTCGCCATCCCCTGCAATGGTCCATACTGCCTATCTCCCTGGGGACACATCCCGGTTGTGATGTTTGGGTCATGCTGTGGGGTTTTGTCCCTCACAAAGCAGCGAGGGGTAAGAGAAGACACAGAGGGCCAGGTCTTCACCTGGTGTGATGACAGTTTACATCAGCTGGGGATCTGGCCCCAAATCTGTTTGGTGACAAAGTTGTCCCTAGGAGCCGGCGCTGGCCTGCAGACCCTGTCTACACTAGGCATTGCAACAAGATGTTGCTTGAAAAGCTTTGCTCTTCCAATGCCTTGCGTCCACACACGACACCTGGTCCAGATGTTGTATGGTTGCAGTGGTTGGGGGCAACGCGTGGGGTGGGGGCTGTTCCGCGTAGGCCCTGCTGACCTGATGTTGTCAGCAATGTTTCTTCTCAGCATGGACAGGGAACCTCCAGTTCTGCGGCTGCTACAGATCATACAGTCCCCGATGCCCCCTTCCACAGCACAGTGTGGAAATAACCGGAAGGCTTTGAATCCCAGCCCCGGGGCTGGGCACGGAGGTGTTTCAGGAGTCGCAGAGGACAGTGGCGTGACTGTGGTACTGGGGACGGGGGGCACTGCACTTAGACACGTCATTCTGTCTGTTGCTGGGCGAGGGCTGAACGAGGCCAAGGACTGGGTGTGGAAATTGGCCTGGGGAAAAAGGGAGCCAGGTCTGAAGAAACTCACCACCCACTGACAGGCAGGGAGACGCGTCAGATAAACGACTGGCTCCGTCTGAGTCACCCAGCTCTGGGACAAATGCTCCTGGGACTGGGAGAGCAGTCACCCGCTCCAGCACTGAGCGGAAGGGCTACCCAAGCCCTCTGGCTGGGCAGTGTCGGACAGCTGGGGCTGGGGGAGCGGGGAAGCTAAGGGCAGTCAACACCTCTCCTAACGGGAGACTAGTCTGTGTCGCCACCGAGAAGATCAAGGCTGCGGAGTCCCAAGCAGTTCAGTAGGAACGTACCGTCTGCCCCTCCTTATCTCTCCTGGGCTCCCGCTCGTCCCCTCTCCTTGCTCCCCTCTTCCACTCGTTCCTGGCCTGTTGCACCAGTGCCCGGCCCCTTGTGCGGTCGTTTACACCCATGCAAAGGGCAGGGCAAACTCTGCTGGCCTGATCAGCCACGTTTCACACCTGTGTGCAAATGGCTGCACAGCGTCCTTTGTCTGTCTCACTTCCGTCCTCCCCCCGCCCCGCTGCCACGCTCATGCTTTCCTCTGAGCGCCTCTGCTCAGCGGCTGATCACTTATTAAACCAGCGGCTGCTTGAGAGCATCTGCACTGAAAAGGGAGTGAGTCCCTAGCTGCCGCCCCAGCTTCCGTTTCCACCATCGCTTCTCGTCTAAACACCGGGGGCAGCGTCTGGACTGAGGAGGTCGGACACGGGGTCGTGTCTCTGTCCAGGCGTCATTGATGACCACATGGGAGCAGGGTCGTTATGTGTCATCTGAAAGACAGCACGGCCAACAGCACAGTGCCCCCTTCTGCCCTGCTGGGGCATTGAGGTCAGCACTGGCTCCAAGGGGAGAGCGCCCCCTACTGAGTCACCCATCCCACTCCCTGCAGCACCCTGGGGTTCTCCGGGGGGCATTCACTGTGCCCCTAGTGTTCCTTTGAAGGGGGTGCTTGGAAAGTGAGCTGAGCTCTGGGCAGAATAATAGAGCCGCCAGGCACATGCAGACCCTGCTTGAGAGGACCCGAATCCCCCCGGGGTGGGGCACTCACTGATTGTAACAAGCTGCGGAAAGCAGCAGCCGTCTCCTCTGCCTCTCCTTCCCTGGTCACCCGGGCAATGATGGCTGCTCTAGGTGGGGTTGCTGCCTAAACACACTAGCTCCTGCAGGATGGGAAGACGGATTTCTGGGGTCCCCTTGGACACGAGGCTGAGGGGAGAGGGGCTGCTCTGGCCTTCCTGTTTCCCAGCCTTCCTCGGAGCTGCAGGGAGGGATCCCAGCCCAGCTCCCGAGAGAGGCTCCGATTAGCACTGCTGCAGTTTTGCTATGCTAATGGCTTCTTCCTCACCAGCGGGGTGGGGCGGGGGGGGGGAGCTGCAGGGGAGACTGGCAGGCAGGCCGTGGAAATCTCAATAGAAGAGAGCTAGCTGCTCTGACTGGGGGTCCTGGGGGCTGGAGATGCGGTCCTCAGCCCCAGGGAGTCGGAGACCCTGGGCTGTGAAGGGTTTGGGGTGGCAGAAGAAGGGAGCACATGGGATGGCTCCCAAATCCGAGCTTTCCTTGAGTCTGGGGATCAAATTGCTGGGGAAGAGCCAATCCTCCAAACCCCTGGTGGGGTGTCTCACGCTCCTTTGTGTGGCTTCAGCTATAAAAGCTCAAACCCACTGAGGAGTGTCAGAGCGCAGCAACTCGTCCGAGTAAAGCGTGAGACCCAGAGCCCACGGCACAGACTGGGGAGTCCGCCTGTGCATGGGGCCAGCGGAGTCAGGCTACAGTGGGCCAACTGGGGGCACAGTTCCCAGTGCCATGGGGTCCCCACTGCACATTCCCTGCCCCCCATCCATCCCCAATGGAGCAACTCTAGGGACTGTTAGCAAGAGGTAATCTCAGGTGTTGTGACTGAACCACGGGAGCCCCTATCTAGGCCTGGTGTGAAATGTCAGGAGCTGCCATGATTTGCTGGTGTGTGTGTGTGTGTGCAGATGTATCTGTGCATTATATGTGGGAGTATACGTGTGCATGGTCCATGTGTATACACATGTACATGTATGTTAGTGAGGCAGTTTGATGTATGTGTATGTACACATAGTATTATTTATACAGCCCAGTCGATGCTGGCCCTGATGGCTCCCCACCCCAAGGA